AACCCAAACCCACCTACGTCCCAAGACAGAGTGCAGCCTAGGTCTCACAATTGCATGCAGCCCAGGTCCCACGACTGCATGCAGCCTATCTACCACCCCCTGAAATATTAGACTGTCCCGTGACCTGTAGATTTCCCTTCCTTGAGGTAGGATATTAATAAAGCACCGAAGATTGCTCAAAATTTCCTGGGCAGCCAAAATAAGCATCCCATATGTTCTGAAAGAGGTGAGGCCAGAAGACAAAGTTTCACAAACATCAAAATTAAATACGAATAATTTGCGTCCGCGTTACGGAAACAGGAAAACTGGAATAAGTTTTGACCACTAGAAAGACTTGTGGAAAGAGAGATAAACAAAGACAACGTAAGAAGATTCTTGCCCGGCTTTTGTCAAGGCATGGAATGATATCAGCACCCGAACTAATAAATGCTGTTCTGGTAGTCTTAGTTTCAGCTTCATAGCTAACGGGTCACCCCATCTTTGCTTCACTCCTGTGCCAACGAAAAACGGACAGAATGTTTATCACAGTCCCTTGTGGAAAGATTGAAAGACTGCTGTCTCAGCATATCTGTCATATACACGCATACACGCGGTAGCCATCCGAAGTGCTAACACAAACAGTCCGACATTAGAAATGCAGTACATCATTGATGGTAGCAGAAGTCACCAACAGATCAGCAGTTGCCCACACGATCAATTTTAATCACATACGGGCACCACCAACATTGCGACGACAGGAATCGCGCCATTTTCTGAATCTATAATTCACACTACCACGTTAGTCACAGTCGAAATAACATTCCAAATGAAATCCGCAGCTCACAGTGTCACGCCATGCATATAACTCAGAAGCTGGGCGACGAAGCTAAATCCAGTCTACAAATGGAGCAAAAATGCATCGGCCACTGTCCGGCAGAAGCAACAAATTTGCCTCGGCTCCAAACAGTGCTCCCTGCCTCGCGTCCATTTTGAAGATCACAGGTGGTGGAGTGGCATGATCACCCACGACAGTCAGCGAGACACTTGATGGTGATAATTTTAATACATTCATAGCCAGTTACTTGTGCTTTGCAAGGTTCATTTTTTTCTTTGTTGTAGCCACTCTGAAATCAAGTGTGCAACTCTTATAGAACAAAGAGTGTACAAAAAAGTAGGTTAGTTCCCTTGATTCGTCCCACCTGGTAAAGCAGTGGCTCTCAAATTTTCAATTGCCGCGACCCTTTAATACGGTTCCTCATGCTGTGGCGACAAACAAACATACAGTTATTTTTGTTACTGCGTTACTGCTTCATAACTTCAATGGAAATGTGCTTTCTGACATAAGGCCCTGAGCGGCGAGAAAATATAATATTTTTAAAGGAAAAAAAAAAGAGAAATGTGCATGTGTGTGAGATGGAAAAGGTGGGAAAAGGAAAAGGGGGGGGGGGGTTGTTGTTTGTCCCTTTGCAAATTTCCTGGGAGAGGAGTAAGCTCGCCAGTCCCTCGCCCACCCTCTCCCACCCCGCTCAGTTTATAAGGGGGGTGGGGCAGGGGTGGCCTGAGTCCTATACGTTCCTGTGCCTATGCTTGTTTTGGAGAAAAGAGGGGGTGGGGGGGGGGGCATACTGCATTATTACAATATTGCTCACGTTTGGTCTGAATATACTAAAGATATTCTACACCAGCGAAACGTAAAATAGCGGGACTGATGACAGAGGCAGGGGATTGACCAAGAAGCAAGGGAACACAGAGAAGAAGATGGATAGAAGGAGTCACTTACACCTTGAAACTACATAACATCACGGCATATTAGGCGACTGAGCGCGCCCTGGCTCGGCTGCCGGTCGTCTAATAAACTTCGACGCCTAGCGGCATTAGCAGATATTGACACACACACACACACACACACACACACACACACACACACAAAGAGAAGAAAAAGATGACAGGAGCACAACCCGTTGATCAGAAAAGACAAAAGATATAAACAAAAAGGACTGGGTTCTACTATTATTGCTACGCCAAGGTGTCGTTTGTGGGCTGAGTGGTCTCGGGTCATGGTGTCCACCTCGAGTACTGGAGGTTCTGGGTTCAATCCCCGGTAAAGGCTAGGATTTTTTTTACGTGGTCTTCTTATAATTTGTCCCTTGTATCTGGATGGTAAGATCGTTCGTCCGTGTGTACGCACGCGTAAAAAAAAAAAAATCGAAAAGAGTAGCATAACGGCACTGCCCAGACAAAATTTTGAATTAAAAATCTGCCCAAAGTATTTTCAGGATTCTGGCCAGTGCTACATTCTTCAGACTTACGCTTGAGTTAGAAGTAGAACAGAGCACTTATGGGTTAATACCGTTGTACTATGATGTTGATCTATTGTTTAAACCTAAACCTATCTTTCTCATGTTTAAACCTAAACCCATCTTTCTTATTCTGTCTTCGGAGCTCTCTAGTGATAATTTTGGTGAACCTAAGTAATTCAAATAATGTTTTCCCGCGGTGAATTGAAACAATACAGACACAAACAATACATGGTACAAATAATTAAGTCATCACCATCCTGTTGTGCCGTGAAATGTCACACTGGGCTTGCGAAATATTCCTCCACTCCCTTCTTTCCCGTTCAGTCGTTTTTTAAATTTCCTATTTCGGTGCCTGTTTGATGATTCTTTGTTGGTCTCTTGTCAGACTGTGTCCAATAACGGGTCATTTTTTCTTTTCTTATAACTGTTGATGCTGATGCCTGCTTAGGCATTTCTTTTAGCTTGTCACTCCTCCTGAATTTATCCCATTTTCCCGCAAATGTCATATATTCGACCTATGCACCACATACTTCTTAATTCTTTTTTTTTTTTTAAAAGTGACATCCCGCATCCGTTTCTGCAAGTTTATGTAGCAATTTTTTTTAACGTATCCAGAAACCATGAGTTGTAAACCCTTTGGCTCGGTACTATGGATATCGCAACTCTTCGGCATTGATTCCATTATAGGTACCGTTAATCTGGGAGAAATGTGGCTTTTCTGCCTACCCCCGGGAGTGAACCCGGACCACAAGGAGTTCGTCACCCGGCCGTCGCGAAAGTCAGGTTTAACCAACTTCGCTAGCAAATAAATGTGACAGGTTGGAGGTACACATGACTACAGGTTACTTTGTGTTACTCATTTTGTGCTTCAACAATATAACCGCGCTGTGTGACTGCACATTTGAACAAAGTTTCCGGGATTTTTAATGTAAAGATACTTATAGGCTGGAGGTACTAGCCTCATACCCCCAGCGCCCCCCCCTCACATTTTCTCATCTGGATTTGGGACCGGCAGCGGCAGAGATGCACAATTTGTCACCTGACATGTTTAGCGGTGTCTTGCCAAGTACAGCCCTATAGAGTTAGATCACATCAAGATGGAATAAAGCAAAAACAACTTCAGAATGGTGGAGCAGATCAACCTGTAAAGTTAAAATTATGGCATCCGTAATAACCACACCACGTTTTTACTCAAAGTTGGGGTCCATCTGTCCGAGAGGCGGGGAACAAGATCTACACACAAATAAGACAGTAAAACGGATGCACACGCAAAGCAAAAGTCCAAATGGACGAACAACCAGGACCTTCCGTCGGCATGAACAGTCGGTGAACGCAAAGAAGAAGAAAAAGACTGTACCAGTCCTACACGGATAAAGACGAGCTCACTTCTTAAATCCTCGTATGAGCTCCGCGGCCCCATTGGGATAGGGAGAGGGGGGGGGGGTGGGGCGTGGCATAGACACACTGTCCTTTAACAAGCGTATCGTAACAGCTGACTAATTAGGGGTGTTTTCTTCGAAGTCAGAGTGCATCTGCCTGAGACGCGAGAAACCACCAGTTTTATTAATATCTTAACCCAGAAGACGTCACACGATAGTCCAACATTTTAGAGGGTGGTAAGACTGGGTTTCTTGGCTTTTTGATGCTTTTAACAACCCCAAAACATTTAGAACTGCCCCTAACCCCAACCCACCTACGTCCCACAAAAGAGTGCAGCCTAGGTCCAGCCAATGCATGCAGCCTAGGTCCCACCTAGGTCTAACACCCCCTAAAATTTTAGACTGTCCCATGACCTGTGGATTTCCGCTGTTTGGGGTAGGATATTAATAAAGCACCCAGATCCGTAAAACAGATGTGCCGGCCAAAGTTCTAGAAATGCGGTTCTCAACCTGTGGGTCGCGACCCTTTTGTGGGTCGAACAGGGGTCGCCAAAGACCACCAGGAAATACATATTCACTGAAGTTTTGAAGTCGCAAAGAAAAAAATAATTGTTGGCTGGGGGTCGCCGCATTTGGAAGGTTGAGAACTACTGTTATAAAACAAGAAGGAAGTTTAGAAGTGGACGAACAGCTAAAACTTTCCAAAGTCAGTGAACGCCGAGAAGAAAATTTCTTAATTACAAGACGATAACCATCTTTTAATTCTTCCGGTTCCAAATAATGTCATGGCAGATGCCTAAAGAGGGCAAGATCAAGAAATCAAGGATGCCCACATCGACAGGAAATGTATAGCATATTTAAAACAAGTTTTTAAAATCCCATAAAAGGCAATTTGCGATATCATACAATCGTAACATGCATTGCTCAGTATACATAGACAATAGCTGATCACACATAGTACGTTGTTGAGGACTGAAACAGTGAAATGTAGTTTCGTGCTGCATGAGTTAACAACACGGACAATACAAACGACACATTCTTGAGGTATTAAGCCCAGGTGAAATGCGATTACACGAGGTGAGGGGAGAGAGGGAGAGAGGGGAACAGCCAGCGACTGTGGGCGGGGCTAGCAGCGGAGGTAAAGGGTCAACCTTTGACCCCCGGCGGTGCGCATGCGTGCTTACCTTTGGCAAGCAAATCAAATGGCAGACAGTAGGACGAACAGCTCTAGAAGTTGTGAAAGTTCGACGCCATAATTCCTCAAACCTGTGTCTATTCCATCATGTGAGGATTTATTCGTCTCTTGTGGTGATAGTTACTTCGTTTTATTAACTTACAGACAATGTCCAAAACCAAGAAAGAGGAGTACGAGCGGTTAAAGAACCTGATTCACCAGTGGAATATAGACCACTATGATATTTTTGAACTGACCCAGCCCAACGAGGTACGTACGTCTGCTGAACTTCTGCTCTCCAGTTCCGCTTTCCGTTTGTTATTTTGTTTCTGACATTTAGCACCTTTGCTTGTTCTGAAACCATTCTTATATTTTAACAGTCGGCGTGGTTGGATATTTGTATGAGAATGACAGTAAGGGTAGATGTGTACCTGGGACCAGGACACAGGTGACACAATTGGGAGCGTCAACAAGCCAAGATGGCCGACGCAGAAAACATACCTGTTGTCGCTGGGGGAAGAAAAAAGGGTTGTTGACGACTTGAGCATAGCTTCGGTGACAGGACAGGAAGCCATACGCTTGTCTTTACCTAGCTGTATATGGCTGTACCCGAGTTGAGGTACTTGACGTTGATTTTAGAGCCACGAGGAGAGTTACAAATTTGAAATTAAAGAAAGGAACCTTATTGAATTGAAATGGACTGCGAGGGTGGGGCCTATTAAAATCGATGGTGTGATGATCTAGCTGTAGTAAAAGTAGTAAATCCAAGCTGGGAAGTTGGTGATTCATGGCAGAACCATTTTATGTGGGAATGCCCTGCGCTGGAAATACCATGCCAGCTGTATGTCTGTTGACATGGGAGATGGATGGGTTCAGCCGTTTATATTTGAGATTTCATGTCAGTGATTTACTGATTCGGTCATTCAGAATGTACATTTGTGATTGTTGTTCAACACCGCAGTTTGGTTATGTTTGAGGGTCACTTATATTTTCATTACACATCATCGTCATAAAGTGCATTACCGACTGGTGTCATTCCTTTCCCCAGTCTGTGATCTTCAACGCTGCTGACATCACTACATGCTATGAGAGAAGGCTGTCAAGAATCCTGTCCTGTTGTCTTCCTGTTTCTTTTTCTACACATCTGTAACTTTCCAATGCTATTAACAATATAAAGTGTTCCAGTTTGCTTTTTCTAACAGTCAGTATGACTAAATAAATGGAGACAGTTTCTTTCTAATGTTTGTGATAAGTTGTCTTTGAGCCCACACCTTATTTAAAACATCTGGGTTTCATTTTCTTTTAACTGTCAATAAATTGAATTCTAAAAATTCTTCTGTGTAACCATGGAAATTGTTTCACTTTTTTAAAATTAGTTGACTAGGATTCACAGCCATATGTTAAAACTAGCTCTGTATAGCATGCAGGAATTTCTTTTTTCCACCAACCTCTAGTGACATGAATTTATTGTATGAAATGTTCTTAAATTTATAAACTGAAATTTGAGCGTGTCCTATTTACCAAAAAAAAAAAAAAAAAAAAATCTGTGGTTCATCTTCCGTCAAATGTTATCCAGGTGCCTAGATAAATTTCATTACACATATGTCACCATAAATGCCACAGTCTCCTCACAGTTGCACATGAGGGGATTTTTGCACAGCACTTTTGTGGATCCTCTTGTCTGTTTGCCTAATATCCTATCATTTTTCCCATTATGGTTGGACTTCAGCTGCTTTACATTTTATTTGTGTAATTATGATTTATAATTTAAAAATTCAGCCTCAGTAGTGGTACTTACATGGAAACTCACAATCATCATCATTGGCCATGATATGGGGTATTCTGGTTCACAATCTCCAGTCTTGTATCAGGCCTGTATTCTCCTCTCTGTATGCCTTGTGATCAAATCATCCAGGTTTTCATCTCTTCTTTCCTCTGTCTCTTGCTGTTTCCACACCAGACTTGTCAGTAGTCATCCAGTTTTCTATTTGATTTCTCCCCAGAACATCCCAGAAATCTTGACCGTCTATATCTAATTTGTTTAACAAGTTTATAGTTCAGTTTCTTGAAGGCCTGCCTCATTGGTATTTCTGTCCATTTTCCTCACAACACTTTCCTTATTTTGCAGTGAAACATGATCATGACCAGCAGTTAGTTGTTGAGTTATTAATTATTATTACAAATTAAGACAATCAGTAAGACTTCACTTGCATGCTGATGTTTGAGCTGTTTAGTTATAAGGCATATAAAAAAAAGAGTTAAGGACCCTTTTCCTTGCCTTTAGGCGTATAGGGCATACTATGCTAGACCTATATTTTATAGACTAATCGGCACAAGATGGGTGATGTGGTCAGCATCACGCCAGCCGCCTTTACTTATCAGGACTGCACCCGGTACCCACTCAAGGCTGGGTCGACCTGGAAGCAAAGATCATTTTTAAAGAGAAAAAAAAGTCAGGCTCTGCCAGGGAGCAAACCTACGATTTTCTGATCCACGGCGAGCGTCTAGCCACTCTGCCATGGTGACTCCCTATAAAACATTTTACATCAAATATATATATATATATATATATACACATGCATACATCTGGTAGTCTTAGTTTCAGCTTCATAGCAAACGGGTCACCCCATCTTTGCTCCGCTCCTGTGCCAACAAAAAACACACAGAATGTTAATCACAATATTAGAATTGCAGTTCATCATTAATGGTAACAGAAGTCGCCAATAGATCAGCAGTTGCCCACGCGATTAATTTTAATCACATACCTATGTGTATGTATTTATATTATTTTTAAATCTTAATGCTTCTTTAGCCAAATGGTCAACAACTCAGTCTAGAGACACGCTTCTTGGGCCTCATAAACAATTAACTAGCATTGACAATCTCAGCTCAGATGGTATGGTAGAGTATTTCAGGCTCCTGTGTGGGTTCCATGATCCCATTTTTTTGCGGGGAAAAAGAACCGACCCACTGCTCCTGAACAAGTATGTCGTAGAATACAGCTAGTTCAGGATTTGTCAAAAGGCACAGAGGTTGCAGCCCAGCTATGAACAAAAATATAGTGTTAACTGCCCTTTTGAGGACGAACACAGAAGAAGAGGAAGGAGTGTTTAAGATCACCTCCTTTGGGAAATTAGGCCCTATCCACCAGGGCTATTCAGCTGTTTTCTCTAGCCAAAATGTTTAAAAAGGTGATCATCATGTACCAGAGGCCCGAAACGCATCATCAGTACTATACAATTGGCAAAGCTTGCGGGCCACTTACTAGGCCCCTGTGGACCTGATTCGACACACGGGCCACAAGCTGAATCACTTGCCATTAGTTACTCATCATTGACAGTTTAGTCTCAGATGGTTAAGCATTTAACTCTTTCAGCCCCAAACAAAGCATCATACGTTCCTACCTAGAAGGCCAACAGACGCAAGATGCACCACTGTTATGTTTCTCTATACTACCCCTTAGGCCTCTGGTGTTAAATTTTCATGTGACTGAAAAAGTTGGGGTTTCCTTGAGAATACAATATTTGCCTTAATTGCCCAGAATCTGTGAGTTCTTCTTTAGTAGAAGCTGTTGCATCTGAAACAAAGACATTTGCATTAGAAACTGTCATTCAACTGTTAAAGCGGTCGTTCCACCCTGTGGAACACCAGCCGTGTGCTAAAAGTGTTTTCAGTGAGACACTGAAACACATTCTGTATAAAGTAGACAGTTCTTTGGTAGGATGAAGAATCTACAGCTTGATAGGATCTCATAAAAAATTTAGTTGTATACCAAGAATTAAAGTAATCTTGTTTGGTATGAAAAGGACAAAACTGACAGTGTGTGGTATGTAAAGGACAAACGGGCAGTGTGCAGTAGGTAAAGGACAAACAAAGCAGTGTGTGGTATGTAAAGGACTAACGGGCAGTGTGTGGTATGTAAAGGACAAACGGGCAGTGTGTGGTATGTAAAGGACAAACCAGGCAGTGTGTGGTATGTAAAGGACAGACCAGGTAGAGTGGTATATAAAGGACAAAACTGGCAGTATATACAATGTGAAGGACAGAACCAGTATGCACTATGTAAAAGACAAATGAGGCAATGTGAATGACAGACCAGGTAGAGTGTGGTATGTAAAGCACAAAACTGGCAGTGTGTGCAATGTGAAGGACAAACCAGGCAGTGTGTGCTATGTATAGGACAAAAATGGCAGTGTGTAGTATGAAAAAGGACAAACGAGGCAGTGTGTACACTGTGAAGGATAAACCAGGTAGAGTGTGGTATGTAAAGGACAAAAGTGGCAGTGTGTGGTATGAAATGAATTGAATCGGTGGTATACCACAAAGCAGCTGGTATGTGTGGGCCAGGATTGAAGCTGCGTATATGTTGTTGTTACAGAATGAGCTGGGCTAATTCAGGAGATTGAATGAGTCATTTTAAGAGGATTACTGAGACAGATGAGCAGGCATCATGCTATATTATTGGATGCATAATGTTGACATAAGCAAGATGGTGCAGTTGTTAGTGTCTGTCTTTCACAGAGGATCAGTGAATGGGACTGAGCTGGCATAGTGAACAGGAATAGCGAGATAGGACTCAAATGTGGACATGATCAGGATGATGTAATAGTGCCTGTCTCTGTAAGATGGACAAGAGTGGGACATCGCTTGTAGAAAGATATGGCTCAGGGGACATCAGCTGATTGAACGACCATGAATACCACATTAATATGGTGAACATAGGGTGTGGGAATGAGAAGATAATAATGGTTGTTTTTAAACTATCCTCCCCATCTAAGTTCCAGTGTCCCATTGTGAGGGATGGGGGCAGTATAGACTTTCTGCTCCGTAACAAGCATGTGGTAAGAGCTGACTGATTAGAAACATTTCCTTCGAAATCTAAGTTCATGAGCTTGATATGCAAGGAACCTACAGTCTGCATACAAATACACAAGGTGTATAAAACGGATGTGCACACGGAACTCAGATTCTGGGACAAGACTAAAGTCCAGAAGTGGATGAGCAACTAGAACTGTCCGTTTCAGTTTACAGTGGGTGAATGCGAGGAAGACAAAGAAACTGTACATTGTCGCTGCTGTCTCCTTTAGGTCTTGGATAATGTCTTCAGAGAGATTGTTGTGACTATAGAGGATTCCAGCAGGAGTCTAGCGGGAATCCATGCATAACAAAAAAAAATTTTTTTTGGGGAAGATAATCTCATTTGAATTAAATGTGAGTTGAGCACTTATCAGGCAACACATTGTGTTGGGTTCAGTCGCCAGCAGAGGCAT